GCCACAGGGCAGGGACCAGACCTGGCTACAGCCTGTTTTCCAAAGCCCACTCACGCCCCTCTGACCTTCACAGGACTGAACGAGATGCCTCTAATTGGTCTACAGAGAAGCTGAAAGGTCTGTTTCTGGCTGTGAAAGTGGAGGATGAGGAGGGGACCTGTGAAGTGACAGAAGTGAGTAAGCTGGATGGAGAAGCCTCCATCAACAACCGGGGACCAGACCTGGCTACAGCCTGTTTTCCAAAGCCCACTCACGCCCCTCTGACCTTCACAGGACTGAACGAGATGCCTCTAATTGGTCTACAGAGAAGCTGAAAGGTCTGTTTCTGGCTGTGAAAGTGGAGGATGAGGAGGGGACCTGTGAAGTGACAGAAGTGAGTAAGCTGGATGGAGAAGCCTCCATCAACAACCGCAAAGGGAAGCTAATATTTTTCTATGAGTGGAATATCAAGCTGGCATGGACAGGTGAGTTATATTTAGTCTGTTTTTGCTCAGGGCCAAGGTCTAGCACAGGGTTATGGACAGTGTTTTCCAAGGCTTTCCTGAAAGGGTTACTGTGGTTTTGAGAGAAAAGTCCCTTTCCTGAGAAATTATATGGAGTTGCCCTTGTGCGGCAATGAGAGCAAGGAAAGGTAAACTGAACAAACCTTTCTAATTAGAGTATAATTGCTCTCTACAGGCACCTCAAAGTCGGGAGTGAAGTATAAGGGGCATGTGGAGATTCCCAACCTCTCCGATGAAAATGATGTTGATGAAGTTGAGGTAAGCACAGTTATGGCTAATACTGCTGACTGTGCCACTTCATTACAAAAGGGTCTCAAAGCACAGAACAGTCCCATCTTAACTCCCAAAAGTAACCCTATAAGGGTGAAGCCTTTCATTGTTCTCTGGTAGACTACTTAGGTTCATCCTGCACCTCTACCAGAAAAGCAGCAAGAGTGGGGACCTTTTTTGGGTGAGGAGCCGCTGGCCCACAGAAAAGAATCAGTTGCGGGCTGCACACAAGTGAGAAACAAAAAACCCTTATTGACATGGCCCCTCACTGAGGAGAAAGACACTCCCCACATTCCTCTCATACACCAGAGTCTAGGCTAGAACACTGTGCCCTCCAGCCCTGCGGTGAGGGGGGCTGGAGTGCCAGTGCAGGCTCCCCAATGCTAGGGGGGGGCTCTGAACTTCAGGGGTTGCATCCAACCCCTGGGCCTGAGGTTCCCTGCCCCTGGCTTTTAAAGGGCTCTGGTTTTTTATGCTGGTTTTCGGTTTTTTTGGTTAGAACTGGATCCATGGTAGTTCTACACAGTCAAATAGGTGCATAAGTTACTGTGAACTGGTAGCACATGAGACAGAGAGTTATTAAAAGGGTATAAAAGTTCCTTCAACAGCTTCTTCTGAAAATGCTTTTCAGGCTGAAGCATTAGTTCTGATGCTAAATCTAATCTTAAAAGGACCATGTGAATGTGGTTTTGTTTACCAAGCCCATGTCTATTTTACTTAGATTTCCGTCAGTCTTGCCAAAGATGAGCCTGACACCAACTTGATGGCCTTGATGAAGCAAGAGGGCACACAAGAGATCAGGAATGCAATGAGCACTTATATCAGCACGCTCAAAACAGGTACATATTAAGGAGGGAGAACTCTCCTGTAGCTGCTAAATAGCTACTGCGGTGGAAGCAATTCTCCCTCCAGTTCTTCAGTGCGAGTAGCAGGAACTACAGCAGTAGTTACCTTTTCATCGCTGCACTTCAATTAGATGACCTGGGGAAGGAAGCTTGTTTGGAGTAAATTGATCCCTGAGCTCTCTAGCTTACCTTAATACCTATATCCATTTGTACGTCATCGTCTGTGGATGTTCACAGCACTGTGTAAAGCTAAGCATATCCATTCTGAGTTGAAGCACAGCTGTAGAGAAGATGAACACAGTACAACTGTTTGGGAGAGATTCTCTGAGGTAACAGCAACAGACCTTATTCACAGTACAACTGTTTGTGTGTTGGGAGAGATTCTCTGAGGTAACAGCAACAGACCTTATTTTGGTAGGGTGGAGTTTTTTCAATTTGTCAAAGTATTTGGTGTCTTTAGTATATATAATTGTCATTGACTGTTCTGGGTCATTAGTTGTCTGTTGTCTGTTTTTTTTTCCAAGATACTAATGAGAGAGACTATCTAGTTCTAGATGGATTTGAACTGAACTTAAAACTTGAGATTTTTGTAGTAATTTTTTAAATCATTAGTCCTTTTTTATAGACTTAGCACACTAACAACACACAGAATTTCCATCTCCCTAAAATGGGTGCTCCTGCACTCTTAATGGGTTTTTGCATCCTTCTCCCAGTTCACATTAGGCACTCAGTTGTGTTCAGTGAAATCTCTCCAGGCATGACCTTATCTCAGAGTCAGGCCTTTTAGCAGTGTGTGCGCCTACATCATTTTGAGCAGCTAAAACATTGACCTGATTTTTGTTACGTTCACTGCATGTTTCTGTCTTTTCAGAGTTCACTCAAGGCATGATTTTACCCACAGTCAATGGGGAGCAAATGGAGCCAGTTCCTCAGCTGGCATGTAGAGCAGAGGACCACAAGGTAAATAAAACACCCCATAGATAGTTCTGGAGAGAAGCCCAGCATGTTGGGTGTATGTGCTGTATATGTAGGTCAAGCTGCCTACTTAGATTCTATGGTATCTTACGCAGTGGATGCAGTCTGTAATTGCTATCTGGGTGTTTAAATTTGTAATGTAGGATGCCCCTGAATTAAAATCTAGTATACTCAGTAATAAGATTGTGTTAAATTTTTTTGTTGCTCCATGAAGCGTGATAGCTCCTAAATTAATTTGCAAAGATCCTCATTCTTGTTCTTTAAGTGTATGACAAATTGCATTTATTGGAATGTTCTGGGAAATAAGATGCTTATAAAGTGCTGTGTAAGCCTTACGCATATATTTCAATACTGCTTCTTGATGTTTCCTTAGACCGCTGCTAGTACTGTCACTGCAGCACCTCAGTCTAAATCCATAGGAGTCAAGATTCCCACCTGTAAGATCAGTTTGAAGGACCTTTTCTTAACATCTCCTGAGGAACTCTACAGAGTGTTCACTACACAGGAGGTAAACCAGCATGGTTGGGGAAGTGGTCCCAGAGGACTTGGGAATAGTTCACTTCTGCACGTAGAACAGCATAGACTGGAGCAGCTCAAGAGTGATTTGGCAGCAAATGCCTGGGAGAGACCTTCCTACTCACAAACCACTTAGCATGGACCTTCTTGCTAACTCAGCAGTAGAGGGGGCAATATCCTGGACTCCTGAAAATAATAATTAAGTATTTAGTCTGATGATTCTCTATAGGCCAACTAAAGCAGGATCCTGTGCTGGAGACGGCTGAAGTCCAGCTGGAGCAGCCCCAAGCTCCCTACTGCTGACTCCCAGACTCTGTTTGCAACAAGCCCTCTGTGGGACTGGAGCAACTCCCTGCCCACAGTAGGCAGAAGCTGCTCCAGCCCTCCTTTTTACTAGTTAACTGAAATTGGTAAGCATTACCCATTTAGGGTGAGGCTTATCAGGTAACAGGTTAACCTCTCATATCCCTAGTGTGTGTAGGCCTTGGTGCCCATGTGTGTCTCCCTCAAAGTCAGGCTTTACTTGGGAGGTCACATGACAATGTCTTGAGTAATGTTACATGCACTTAAGAAAAACTGATAGTACGGGCATAATAAGAGGTAGGGGCCCTCTGTAGATCTGGCATATTTCTCATCCAGTGAGAAGCAGGTAAAACACTTAGTCAGTGGAGTGCTCGCGTGACATGGCTCAGGGCTCAAACACTGTTTTCCTGGTTTGAAGGGAGCTTTCCCTTGGTTTGCATCCCCCTGGGACTTTTCAGAAATGGGTGACACTGCTTCCTTCCCAATCCTCAAAATGAAGACCCTAAGCTTTGAGACAAACACTTACTCCAGAGTGTCCAGTGTTCTGCTGCTGGGGTGGGAGGCAAAAGGCAGTAGCAACTCCCCTGCCAGCAGGTTTCAGAGCAGCTGATGCAGGTTGTGGGGAGAAGGTTGTGATGATTCCAGTCACATAAGTCCTGCACTGGTCACAAGGCCTGTCTTTCTGCAGATGGTCCAGGCTTTTACTCATGCGCCGGCAATCATAGAAGCTGATAAAGGAGGGGAATTCCACTTGCTAGAAGGCAGCGTCAGCGGCAAGTTTGTTGATCTAGTGAGTACCAGCCCATGCATCTGTATCTTGTTCAGAAGGAGCCTTAATGGCCAGGTCATACCTTCCTTGCAGTCTTTTATCAGTCTGCCTTGCACCTCGTCCTTATAGCCGTGCACTAATGTAAACATTTGACTCTGCATCCAAGATGGCAAACAGTACAATGCCATCTTGGATGCAGAGCCAAATTTCACCTGGGTATACAGATCTGT